GTTGTCCTTCTCTAGCTTCAATGACACGCAAGGTTTCATCAAATGGTCGGTCTGTTCCCCTTCGGTCGGAGGGGAAGTCAGGTGCATAACTAGCAAATGAGGGTGGCTGAGACGATGGTGTCCACCAAGTTGCATGACCTTGTGACCTTGGGGTTGGTGCGACATCAGAAATCTGTGAACTAACTGGCGGATACTGTCCAGTATGCATCAATCCCGAAGCCGCGTGTGGCCTTGGGGTTGAAGCAAATGGTGGTATTCTCAGAGAATGACTTATCTCCTCCTTCGATTCCTCAAGAAATTTCTGAAACATGGTTTGTTGAATAGCGATCTGTTTTGTGGAAGATTCTTTTATTTCTTGCATAGTCTGTGCAAATAATTCCTGATTGTGTTGCTGCTGTCTGTCAAAAGAAGAACTGAAAGACTCCAGTGTCTTGTGCAGCCAAGAATTGTCTTCCTCATTTTTATTGTCAGTCATTACTCCACTGTCACTTTGTGTAAAGTCAGTATTCTTTATTATTTCATCATCAGTGTTTTCGGCCTTGTTCGCCATGTTGGAATGAGAGGAACTCTTGTTCATCTATTTCAAGTGAATCACATGGGGTGTAACACTCCCTAATAATGTCAAGCTCGAGTCGCCGTAACCACTTCTGGGACAATAGATGGCCTGGGTGCAAACCGTCTGATAGCAACTCAAAGAAGTATCTCTTTTTGCCCCGTCTGCAGTCTCGCAAGTCAGCGTTGAACTTAAGTGTGTTTCGACCTAGGCCTTGATTTATCTGTTCAATATGTGTATTGAGGAGATCTACCTGTATCTCAACTTCTTTGTCCGAGTCAAGGAATACTGTTGGATTCCGATGCCCCTTGATATCGTTGTACAGGGAAACTAAATAAATAGGTATGCCAATAAACTTAATGCGGCAGCTATTACCAAGAATAAAATCTTTGGCCCTGTGTAGCTCTTTCACAACAGATGATACTGTATCAGTCACCTTACCACGAATGTTTATATATTTTCCTTGTTTTTTTGTTATGTCACAAGTTCCACCCCAAAAGTAGACTGTTACTAGCTTGTGTCCTTTAGTAAGATGAGGGAACTCTTGTATCAATAAGTCTACGAGCTCCTTGGTCGTTGCCCCCTTCTTATATAGGAAGACGAGTGGCAAAGATGTGTCCTGTCTTATCTGTTCCAATCGAATGCCTTTACTGTCGGAGACCAAGACTGCTATGCTTCGTGCCTCTTTCTGTGGAACTACCAATGGTCGTGACTCTAGGAAATGCACCAAATCCTTTTCCGACCGCTACAATAAACTTTGTTCGCAGTGAACAATGAAAATTATTTTATGTCCAAAGTGATCGCAGTGAGCACCAAGGGCATGCAAATTTGTTGACAGTAATTTTATTCAATTAATTTTTTCCCCTTAATTTGGTTACTTATAATTATCGAATTCTCCGAAATATCAATGAATTTTATTTTATTTCAAAAAATATTCATGAATTTACTTGTAATATACTCGAAAAATTTAATTGTTAAACTTCGATTTTTTTTTTCTATAAAATTTGTGTTCTTTAATTTGTAAACACCCTGTAGCTCTAGAACTTTAATTCTATAAATAGATTACATCAACAAACATTCAATTTGCGCGATAAATTCAATCAAAATTAACAGAAGTTGAACATTAAATATACTTGTATTCTGTGTACAGTATAGCCCGCGTAATCACGGGAGATAACTAAAAAAGAACACTGTAAAAATAGAAAATAAGGAGTCTATAAAACTAGTCCATTTTCACCACAAATTCATATATTTTTTGGTTTTTAATGCTTAATGGCAATAGATTTCTGGAATAAGAGAAAATATGTAGGCACCTTTTATTTACTAGATCTAGAACTGAAGTTGACAAATCCAAGACTATCTAGTGTAATGAAATTACAATGTACATTCAACTTTCGTAATAATTTGAATGGTATGTAACCATTTTGAAGGAATGCATAAATCGTAAGAAATCATTAGTTGCCAGCTATATAGTGTAATATCTTGATGAAATTTGTCTAAGTCAAAGAGATGTACGTGTTGTAGATCGTTTGATCATGTGTACATTTTTGTGATATCTATAAATAATTTAATTCTGGTTGTAACGCTGTATTTGATTGGATAAAAAATTTACTTCATATTGTATAAAATGGGTTGCCTACGTCACAATGACTTACGTCAAAAACGTATCAATCCGCCTGACGTTACATTCAAATTTTGTACAAATTGAAGTCAATTTGTTAGAACAATCATCTTTTTTTCTTACATCAAATGAATGAAAATTAAATTATAAGGAATGAATTTAATAGCTACCCATTTTATACGGAATAAACTGGGTTGGAACAGTTTACGCTTTTTTATAAACCGCGAATAAACTGCCCCAACCCAGTTTATACCGTATAAAATGGGTAGCTATTAAATTCATTCCTTAATAATTCCAATCTTCATTTTATCTATTGATTTCCTGTGTTTTGATTGGACGAGAACACGTTCCAGAAAATTTTTACACATCGATAAATTCTTTCAATCAGAACTACTTTCTTGACTGTTGTAAAAACAATTAAAACAGATACTTCTAGTCCGTTTTAGCTACAAAAAACTTTTGAGGAGGTAAACAATTTCGTCACAAGAGCGATGTTTTTGAATGGAGATGCCAGTGAATATTTTCATGTTGGGATTTACATGTCTAAACAGTAAGTTATGTAGAAATTAAATTGACAGAGTCAAGTAAACAACTAAAAGACTAAAATGAAGCGAGCGGCAGTGTTGCCTATATATGTAAATAATTCTTACTATAGTCGGCCAAAATTTGGGGCTCAATTTCCAGACATGAATTATGAAGAAGTGTCCAGAGATTCTGTAGGCACAGGCACCTGAATTTGTATCAATAAGTCGCTAAATAAGCCAAAGATCGAAAAATTCTACCCCCTCTATATATAAATACACAAGGTGTGCAACGCCCTTTTGACCCCCACCTCGATTCGGGCTTCAATTTAACACATAAATCGGACATGCCTACCGGTTTGCATGTAGTACTGGGTTCAAATATGATAGTCCCCGCTATTCATCACTTCCCAAAGTTTTTATCTAACGTGTTGATAGGAATTACGAAACGATGGCTATGAAATAAAAATCTAAACCACTACACTATCAAGTCAAACTCAAGCAAACTTCGAATTTCGTCCCAAGGCTCGGTCGCCATCAGCTGACGTCACCAAAATTACAGATCCGCACGGAATGCTCTAATGCATAATTTTTTTAATTAACAATTTTAAAATTATTTCAATGACAGATAACATAGAGAAAAAAATAAAGAAACCTAAGGAATAGGTTGTTTGTTATCCTTGATTTTATTCAACATATATTTTGATTCATTGAGAATATCAAGGGCTGGTCACTCTACTCCAGAAGCGGGATTTTTTAAATTTGAAAAATATAAAATAAAAGTTGTGAAGAAAATGAATTCTATATTCGATGCTGCTCTTTGGTAAGTATATTTAAATATATATATATATATATATTTATATTTGAGATGGAAATAAATCTCACTGAGTAATTTAATTTCACTGACAATCAATAAACTAAAATAATTGAATACTATCATACTATGAACATTTTTAAAACAAGTATCCTATGTATTAATATTACAAGGAAGGACTGGGACAATACAAATTTTTCTTTAATGATATGTATCAAAATATTTTAGTCAGGATACCATGTGTTTCATGATACCAGGGGGTATTTTGAATTAGCAACTAAATCTTTTTGAATATGAAATTGAGAAATAAATATATGGTGCCAGAAGATTATTATTGTCATTCACAGAAGCTGTATAGTTGTTGTAAAAACAAATTATTTTTATAAAAAAGGCAATTTAATTATGAATTTCATTTTGTTACTTAGCATCAAGCATTGAATCAAAAGTCTAATCCAATAAAGAAAAAAATAAGTAAGAATTATTTTTGGTAAATGCTTAAAAAATTTAACAAATCTAATGATATGTGTATCATCCTCACACAGAATTGATATTATCATTATTTCAATATATCCTCTCAGCCCTACATAATACATGTACATTATTTTGATTTTTTTAAAAAAATGTGTAGGCAATAGATTTATATTTTAGTATAAAATTTACTATATTTATAACGTCAACAGTGGAAGAGCTAGAAAATAAATCACAGCTGTTATTATGCACCGGAATTAATTGATCTGAAGCATACACCATTTATGTCGTGTCTGTTTAGCTGTTCATCTGTCTGTTGTGAACTTGATCCTTCACCATAATGTTTGAACCATAAGAGATAGAGACTTCATATTTGGCATTCATACTCTACTAATCAAGGTCTTTCAAATGACACCAAGTTTCATGAACTTGTGACCTTGACTGTGACCTATATGTTAAAATTAGCTTTTTGCAAACTGTGTTGCTGCCTGGCACAAAGCATTTCCACAAACACATCTTATCATAATATTATATTATCTTTATATACAAATAGAGAACAGAACAAAAAACAATAGTTTTAAAGACAAATACATGTACTGTTATCATAGATACATTTTCTTGATGAACTAATAGAACTGCTAACTCCTTTGATTACATATTTTCATAATACCTCCCACAAACATCATGAAATATTGTTTTAAAATTTCAATTATGAAAGCATAAGTGTAAAGATGAGGGCAATACAATCTCCTTGTGCCCTCTTTATGATACAAATTCACATCAGTACTGATAATAATCACACAGCTCAGGATCAACAGTATCATTGTTTTTTTTTAAAGGATAAACTGAAAATGTATTGCTTTCGAGAAACTTATTTATGTATAAATTTCAGTATTATGTATGTGTTATACCGACTTAAAAACAGTGAACTATATTTGCAATATTGGAAACAAGTCGATTGTGAAAGCACAATTGTAACTCGCATGTTACTCACCCAAAAATGAATATGTATTATTAAGGCTATTATTTCTTGCCCTTGCCTTTGCCCTTGCCCTTGCCTTTACTTTTACATGTAGCTGTACAAGTAGGACAGATCCATCTGGACTTTTTTTTGAATAGGAAAGGTTCATCCCCTTTTATGTTGACACACCCATAGTGAAACCACAAGTTACATTTATCACAGGCTATGCTCTCACGAGCTAATTCACTCGGTTCCCAGTCACATTCTTCAGAACATAGATCACACACATAGGTATCAGTTTGTGAGTAAGATGTAGATGGTTCATCGGAGGGTTTCCTTTTTTTGCTTGGTGGTAATTTATCTGATTTCTTCTTAGTTTCCCCTCGATCTCCCAGAGCAGTTACTTTGGAGCGAAGAGCCTGCTTTTTCTTTCTAGGAAGAATGTCTTTGAATTCTTTTATAGCGTCAACAAAAGCAAGCTTTATAAAATGATTCAGGACATCTGCAAATAGATCAAGGAGCATACACATGAATATTTCTTCCTCAGTATCATCTGCTTCTGGTGCTTTGAACAAATTCACCCATACTTCCAACAAATCAGGATTAGATAGGAGAATATTTCTGCACTCTCCTTGAAGGTTTTCTATGTTCAAATGTATAAATTTCGGTGTCAAATACATTTGCAGGATTTCATTTGCTTTGGAAAAAAACTGATATACTGGATCACTGACAATAAACAATCCTCTAGAGCTACTCTGTTTATGTAGAATCTCCTGCATACTAGGATCTTGGGAATCTGCACTATCTTCACTTATCCTCAGCGCCTTTAATAAACTTTGTTTTCGATAGGAGAGTCTGCGACCAATTCTACTGTTTTTTGATAGCTTTCCAATAGATCTGATGACAGAAGTTCGCAATCTGTCTGCAATTTTGTGTATGCAGGCTCCAGCCAGGTATCTTATTTTACCTTCTGCAACTTGTGAGGGGGCCTCTACAGTTCTATCAGAATCTTCAAATGCCTGTTGCTGATGTTTAATGATATCCATTGATTTCTTTGCAATTTCACAATCCATTAACCAAAACACAATCTTGGTTGAAAATTTGTTTTGGTTGCAATTTATTGGCTTGCTGTGGAAGAGCTTTTCACACAAATGTTCATGATAGTCACTAACCACAAACTTGTTCAAATTTTTATAGGCATCCACCCACTTTTCTGATGTTTCAGGGTTTTTACTAAGGACTTTCACAACTGTTGAATAAAGATGTTTAAGGTGAATTTTCATTTCTTCATTCTGCTCGTCATAAATCTCCACTGGAATATGGCTCAAAAACTTTGATTCTAGATTTTCATCGATGAAGTCTTTAATCTTCCATGGGCATTCAACAAACTGTGTTACTTGGACAGGATTTTCACTTTCTGTTTCCATACTGAGTGTTTCAGTTTCACTTAAAGTTGAAATGTTTGTTGTCTCTTCTTTATTCAAATCACTTTGGTCTTGGCAAACCTGTTTACAACAATCAAGGTTTTCAGTGGGCTCTTTTTGTTCTTCTTCATAGAAAGCATAAACCTCATCTGGATGCTTTAATTGGGAAGCTTTTAAATTGAAGTTGACAACTTTGAGGCCCTCCTTATTTACACAGCGACCTACAGCAACTCCCATTTGGCCGGGGGCAAAAAATGAGTAACAGTCTACTTCTACACACTGTAGAGTTTGTCCTTGTGCTTTGTGCACAGTGAGTGCAAAAGCCAACTGTACAGGATACTGAGTTCGGCAAGCTAATGATCTCTGTTGTTGTGGACTATAAACATCAAACTGAAATTTTTGCAGTGGAACAGTTTTTCTATCAATGTTGATCACTGGATCCTGCCCTTCTTTCAAGTGAAGAACTGTGCCTCTTGTCCCATTGAATACTCCTCCACCAAGATTCCTGGTGATGATAACAGGAGCCCCTTCTTTTAGAATAAGGACCTTGGGTGCGTCACATCGGAATAGATGCCTAATGTCTCCTATAAAACACCATTTTATTTTAAATAGCAAATAAACACTATACCAAAAGGCCAATGGGCCACATCCTGAACCTGAGCTGCTTGCTTTATAGAGAAGAGCATAAGATTTGCATTTACAAAACATGTCACTATTGAAACATAAAAGAAACCCGCTAAATATTTCAGGGGAAAAATTTATGAAATTAGCATTGACCTATGTATATGAATTATAAAACCTTGTCATACCTTCATCTTGGGACTTAAAGCATACTGCATTTCCGGGCATGTCTTCTAACATTTCTTGGTTAATGAAGGCAACATCAAATCTTGTGCCAAACAGAAAAGTGGGTGAAGAATTGCATGGAAGAGGCCTGTCCAAACTCCTCATAAGGGCCACAGTCTCTGCTGAAGGTGATCCATCACACAACTCGTTTACTGCTCGTATTAAATCAGGCTCTGACTGCCTGATAACCTACAAAAAAATAGTACCCATGTTCAACAAAGTAACTGCAAATATATAATTATTCCTATTTTTCACACATTTACCTGGTAATTAAGAATGAGTATTGCATGTCATGGACTCATGACATCAGTTGCATGAGCCAAAGTGTAGAACACAAGGCAAACATACTGTATATAATAGTCAGAATAATCTTTAACACTGTGAAGCATTACTTACCTCTTTCAAGTTAATGTGATGTGGAAAAGCCTTCTGAAAAAATGGACTTGTGAAGCAGTATGATCCGTCGTCCCCGTATAGATGATTTGGAACAGGGGGTTGCTGCTTGAAGTCGCCACTTGCTATAACCTTAAAATACATGTATATATTGAATTTTTATGTTCTAATTTGCAAAGCACAAATTACTGTAGTAAATTACATTAACATACATAATAATGTTTTAAAAAACAATATATGCTAATAACCTGCAATCCACCAAATGTGTAGGCATTCCCACGAACAAATCTGCAAACTGATTCAACAGCTTCAAACACTTTCTTCGACAACATGCCAATCTCATCAATAAAGAGAACATCTGCCTTCTGTATTCTATCTTTGGCTGCTGTAAATCGGTCGTCACTTCTCATAAGTTCATGAAGCCTCTCCTGACTGTGCCTACAATCCATTATACCACACCAGTGGTGTAGAGTAGTGGCCCCCATCCCCAGCTGGGTGCTGGCCATACCTGTCGTAGCTGTGACAGCAATATTCTTTCTCGAAGACATAGTTTTTATGAGTTTCCTGAAAATTGAAAATAACATTTTTAGACAAATACATATATATTTACAAGAATAGTTCTTGAATGATACAGTCATATCATTTGTTTTTAATTTTAGGCTCTTCCTTAACTACAGACACTCCCCTAGAGAACGAGTAAAGCTGGAAAGCATCTACAGCAAATTAAGTGGTTTTTTTACCCAGAAAAACATTCCTATTCCCAACAAAGGAGTCATTTCAAAACTTGTACCAGGTCTATTTCAGGCCAGCAGGTGTTTTGTGTATGAACAAAGTCTGCAGTACACAGCATTTGAAAATCTGGCGGAAATTAAAGTGGATCTTCCCTCACAGAGTACTCACCTAGAAATTCCACCTTTCTGTGCCGTTTCTTATACCGTTTCACAGGAGTTACAGTTGAAGTGCCAACTAACAACCTGCATTAATGGGAAACAAGTATATTGTGATGTTACATTCTTTCAGAACTATTTTGAACTCTCAGTTATGGGACTTGTCTTGAAGAGTGGATTTTCTGTTCCTGTTACACAGCACAGCATTGACGGCGTCCTACATTTTCTACAAATCTTACCATTTTGTAAAGGAACAACGGAAAGATTTCCGACTCAAACAGCTTGTGTGGAAGAAGTGTGGTCCCTTCTGTATGATGAAAATTCTTCAGAAAACCGATTTAGAAGCAGAAAGTGCCAAGTTCTACTCAGCTTCCTCCAACCTACCAGCGCTTGTTGTGCACAATGTTCCAATGCAAATACAAAGGCCAAGAAAAGGTTTCTTGATGCAGAAAAGAACAAGAAGTTGATTACGGATACAGACCCTAACCATGACAGTGCCAAAACACATCAGGGAAAATCTCAGGATACATTCATAGCTCTTGACAAAGATGACGAGACTGACATGAAAGCTATTTTAAATGATTTATTGTCAAGACAACAAGTTCCTGCTCACCTTCATGTTTTAATGGAGAACCAATTAAGAAACTCCCAGAACATGGATATTCGCCAAAGGAGATGGGACCCGGAAATTATTAGTGTTGCGTTAGGCCTGTATCTGAAGTCACCAAGTGCATATGAAATGCTCAAGAAAACGAACATGCTAGTCCTCCCATCAAAGAGATTGCTGCAGTACTACAAGAACTCAGTGAAGCAACCCGTTGGTATCAGTGCTGATAACCTACAGTGGATGGAAATGGAGTGCAGCAGACAATCCGTTCCAGATTTCGGGAAACATGGTGGTCTGATCATTGACGAGATGACCATACAAGATGACCTTGTAATAGAGAGAGCAGGGGACGCATGGAAGTTAGTGGGAATGGTAGACATGGGGGAAACTAACAATAACATTTCTGTTATATGCAAGAAAGAAAAGAGAGTAGAGTTGGCTACCCATGCGCTACAGTTCGTCTTTCATGGCTTTACCGGCTTTAGGTGAGTGTCAAATTTACAACTGGGTACCTGTATGAAAGCTGCACAAGAAAAATTATGAAATGAGACCAAGTTTTTGCCTTATTAAGGTCTTCATAATTAAATATATTTTTGTTTGATATACTCTGTCCCACTTTTTTCAAGGTGAATACATTTCGTTTTAAATTATAGTGTTGGTCACATCGATACTTGATAAAAATCACAAACTTGGAAATTTATTGATGTTTTCAACAAAATGAATGACTAGAAATATTTAATATTTATTACTTTTTATTAACAATTTCAATCTTAAAGCATCCTAGAGAAATTATTTACCTTAGCTCTAAATAAATAAAACAATATCTATTTCTATTGAAAGTAAATCTAAAAAAAATTCAAAGTACTGAAAAAAATTATTGGGTGTTGGTGAATTTGACAAAAAAGTTGGAATACATAAAACAAATTATTTTTTAATGTTGGCCTAAAAGACTGATGTTTTTCATAATGCATAAATTCTATGGAATATTATTCCCAATGAAACACAAAAGGTTTAATTTCAAAATAAATTTTAAAAAGTAAATATCCAAATTAAAATCACAATTAAACCATATTCACAGCAAATGATTTTGCCATTCCTGGCTCTAAGGCAGTTATTCATGTAATATATACATTTAATTTAGTCATTTGTTCTATATTCATTTGCAATACACTAGTACATGTATAAGAATGGAATCATTTATTTTGCAGATGGCCTGTTGCATATTTTGGATCGAACCCTGCCACGGCTCACCAACTCTATACAACTTTTTGGAAGTGTGTTGATGTGCTATGTGAAAGGGGTTTTACCATAGACTATGTTATGTTGGACGGTGCCTCTACCAACCGAACATTCACTAACATGCTATTTGATGGGCTTCCTTCTGAGAGGTGCTGGAAATTTTGCGATGTTTTCGACAGACATCACCAGATTTGTGCAATACAAGACATTATGCATTGCATAAAAAAACTGCGAAACAACAAGTCAAGCAAAGGTGAGCACAAGGCGGCCCCAGGTAGATATCTGACACTAAATGAGAGACCCATTATTTGGGATCACTGGGAGGCTTGCTTTCGCTTCAATAGCCAGAGTGGTTTCCGGATACATCGCCACCTCACTAAGGAACACCTAGAGCTAACTCCTGCGTCAAAGATGAGAAACAAGTTGGCCAATGATGTATTGAATAGAGACATGCTATATCTTATGAAGGCATACCAGCAGACATTGGAGAACCCTGAATTTCTGTCTTCTTCCATTTTGCTTCTGGAACATACATCAGTGTTAATTGATATCTTCTGCAACAGAAATGGGCCAATTTCAACACTGACTGACCCAAGACTTGCACAGATAAAGACCGCTAGCCAGTTCTTTGGGTCCTGGAATGGAGCTGTGGAGGAATCCCCTTTCCAGGTTGTCAGTAAACATTTCCTGACTCGGGAAACTGCAGAAGACATACAATCATCCCTGGTAGGATTTTTATCACTTTGTCATCTGCACCTTACCTCAGGAAACAGCATCAATCCAGGATACTTCAATTCTGACATAGTCGAAAACTTCTTCTGTCAGCAGAGAGGAATAAGGAATGGCTTGAACTCCAATCCAACATTGTCGCAGTATTGACCTGCTAATACAGCTATCATTCTAAGCCAGTCTACTGTGTCTTGCAAATCAAACTCCGGAAACTCAGCTACCTTCTTCACGGCTACGAGCAAGAGAGCACTAAACCCTACTCACAACAAGTCAAACAAGTCAAAAAAGATGAAAGGAATGAGAATATAACTCAAGCATGAGGTATATATGACCCACATACAATTTTGAAAGTTAATATTTATTTATGATAATCTGTGCATCAGGCTTGGACACCACCTACCTCCAACGTACATTTGATTTTAACTTTAACCCTCAATCCAGTGGGGGCTTAAAGGCAGCCCTTAGACCACAGATCTGGTATCTTAATGGATTCCTCACTGCTAAGAATTTCTTAAAACATTTTATTCATATAGGAAAAATCAGCAAACTTGGATCCACATCTTAATCTGCTACCTTAACACCAAGGTTTGGGTGGGTGGGGGTCTTTGCAAATTAGGGTGGGTGGAAACTTCCAGAAATTTATTATTAAGGGGCAAATGATGCAAGCAATTCAATTCTAATTGAGGGTGAGGGTGGGTGTCATGTAAAAAGTACTGTACAGGCCATTTATAAAGCAATTTGAGTTGTTTTTGTTGGGGAGGGGGGAAACATTTACAATGACTTAAAAAAAAATCCTTGACAATAAAAAAAGGGGAGTGTCTTTCAATGTTATTTTTTAGGGGCACAAACATATTGTAGCAAATAATTTTATTGTATTCTATATTGCGTTAAAATTATAGGGGACACGGTCCCCGTGTCCTATCTGTTTATCAATTGCCATGCTTTTCTACTACATATGACCTATAACCTTGCATCCAAACCTTGTTTGTTGATAAAAATCAATAAAATAAAATGTAATTGTTAAAACACATTTATACCTCATCATATATGTCTTTCCGGTTCCACATTGTCCAGTTAAAAGACAGCTGTGTCCCTTTTCGGCCAAATTCTGAAATTTCTCCATCTTGGCATTTGCCGCAAAATGTTCCGGAATTTCATATCAGTTCAGTTCAGTTCAGTTCAGTTGTGGATTTCCCTCCTATGTATAAGGAGCACCCGAGAAGGTTGTTTCATAAAAGACATACAAATTAAAAAAATAAAAGAGATAAAGTGAGGAAGAAAAACAGTTAGTAAAAACCTATTCTATGTAGTGCTGTAAAATAAAGTTAGAGGTGAAAGACCAACTAAAAATAAAACAAAAAATAACATACTGTACAGTAGCTTAACTCCTAAAGTAAAATTGTTCGGATCTAAAAGTTCTTTAAAAAAAGCCACAATTTAAAAGAATTTAGCACCTTTTCCGTGACTGTTTCTATTTAAAAAAAAAATAATAATAATTATGAAAATAAAAAAAATAAAAAAAAAATAAAAAAAAAAAAAAGAAAGGAAAAATATTAAGGTCTGTTGGTTGTAGACTGTGTACTAATTTTTTTAATAATTTGAGCTCTATGGCAAAATATGGAAAAATATTAAGGTCTGTTGGTTGTAGACTGTGTACTAATTTTTTTAATAATTTGAGCTCTATGGCAATGTAGAGCAAATACCATGTTGCGGCTCAGGTTCTCAATAAAAATCTGAATTTTATTGTTTCTGGATGGAATCTCTGAGAATGTGAAGTACGAGGGATCGATAATAGTCTGTAGCAATCTAGCGTCCTCCAGTAAGTATGAATTAGATTCCTGTGTGCCAATTTTTTCTTGCAGGTAATGACCTATTTTCATCAAATATGGCTGTCTAATAGAAACTAAGGTGGGACATTTTAGTAAAAAGTGTAATCTATCCTCTGTGGTCTCTCTACATAACAAGCAGTCATTTTTCACTTTGTGTTGGTTGAATTTATCAATATTGTCCTGTAAGCGGTAGGTATTTGTTGCGAGTTGAGCTTTGACAATGGCCTTATTTGATGCCTTCGGCGAAAAAGTACTTGACTGCCATAATG